GCACCACCCACATCACACAGCGCAAACATGCAAGACACACGCAAAGACGTGAAAGCAACCAGAAGACAAGCCACTCATGAAGCACACCAAACCCACACACACACACACACAGACGCACACGCACAGGTCCTCCTGCTCCCCCCCAAGCCGCCTCGCTGAAGCCTAGGGGCCGCCGTAGCAGCGCATGGAAGACCTCTCGAGACTGGATAGGTTTTAGGTAGAGATGACCTAGCTACGACATGGGATAGCTAACTAACTTGGTTGCTGCTGACCCCTCTGCAAAATGGGTGGGTTCAATGGACAAATCCTTGAGGACAAGGAATCGGAATGCCGGTGCTTGGGGGTGAAAAACCTGGGTAACTACAATAGGTGACCTGGGAAACTAAACAATAAGAAAATGGTCCAAACCTAAACTACGTGTAGCTGAATATGGGAGTTTCTCAAGAAGGGATCCCCAAATCCCCTTTTGGTTGGCACAAGCGAAAACAAAAGAATCCAAGAAATTTGCGGGATTGGTTCCAAGATTGAGAAACCCGCAGCCCAAATAGATTCTACCTAGGCAACTACAATAGGCAATCTAGGCAGCTACACGACAGGGTATGCCAATGTTCTCTGTGTGTGTGTGTGTGTGCGCGTGTTGTGTGTGTGTGTGTGCTGTTTGTGTATGTGTGTTGTGATGTGATGTGTGCGTGCCTGTGTTGTGTGTGTGTGTGTGTGTCTTGTGTCTGTGTGTGTGTGTGTGTGGTGTGTGGTGTGTGCATGTGTTGTGTGTATGTGTTGTGCGTATGTGTTGTGTGTATGTGTTGTGTGTGTGTGTGTTGTGTGTCTGTGTTGTGTATGTGGTGCATGCGTGTGTGGCGTGCGTGTCTGTGTTTTGTGTACGTGTGTTGTGTGTGTGTGTGTGGCGTGTTTGTGTGTGTGTGTGTGTGTGTCTGTGTTTTGTGTACGTGTTGTGTGTGTGTGTGCTTGCGTGTTTGCACGTGGGTGGGTGGGTGGGCGGGCGGGCGGGCGGGCGGGTGGGTGGGCTCTGGGTGGCTGGGTGGCTGGGTGGGAGGCTGGGTGAAACTGATGGCGTGTTCGTTTCCTTTCTGAAGGTTGCGAATTGGGATGACTAAGCAAAATTTGGAATTGCGAAAACTCCTTTCCAGCTATACACCCATGGATTTTTGTCCAAGGGGCGGAATGAGTTGGACCATGACAAAAAGGTGTCTCCCAGAGTACTTGGACCACTATCATCTAGAAAGAAGTATTTTGCTCTAGGAAATCGGACGCCCTGTTCGTTGCGATGTTTCCCTTTGCAGGACTGGTAACCCCCGTTGCAACTGGCCCTCGTCAACAGAGCTCAGCCAGAGATTTGGTGGGTGCGTCGTTTGTAGAGGGCCCCCAAAATGGCTTCGGCTTTCCTTTTGCAATCCCATGAATCCCTTTAAAACTGCAAAAAGTGGCAAACCCCCCAAAAAAAAACACGAGCCACCCACATGTGGATAAACACATTTTATGGTGCCTGGGAATGCCTGGGATTCGTCGATTTCTGACGGGCAACTTGATCCACTTGCAAGGGTTCTTTGGGCCCGGCTGCATTGATTCACGTGTTCTTACCAAGCTCTAGGTCATCTTAAAATCGAAGCCTGAAATGGTTTTTCCTTGGCGGGAAACATATCAAATCCCCTAACTTGAGGAAGCCCTTCCGTTGAGCCAAACGAAAAAACAGCTCAGAGTGTCGACCCTACCGCCCAAGGCCCGCGCATTGCCGGGCCGGCCCGGGGCCGCCCCGCTCGGGGCCGGGCCTTGTCAAGCACTTGGCCGCAGATGACTTGCAGGCCAACCAAAAGAATTCAGATTCCAGACATCAAAGATCAGCCCGTCAGTTCAAACCTTGCACGACCTGCCGAATGTCCGTGGGCCATCCCGCCCGGAAGCGGCTCTTCTCCGGTTTCGCCATTGCGCTGGCGCTTGGCCGGCGCGGGTGCCTGCAAGGGGCGCTCAGCCCACCAATCATCCTCAAACACACAGCGCAAAAAAGGGCACGTTGGAGGCCAAATAAAGCAAGACAAATATATAATATACCACAATATAATATAACATAATGTAATATAATGTAATATCACATAATACAATATAATACAATATGTATACTGTACATGAAAAAACATATCATGTTGGCAGAGGGAAATGCAACAAAGCTGGTGCTCGGACCGAAACTTTGGATCGTTCACATCTTTGTCAGGGCAGGTGTATAAAGCCTCGCCACCTAGGGCACTGTGGCGGTGAAAGCTGCTCAAATGGCTGCGGCTCAGGAAAAGGTACCCCAAAATGGCACCTAATATGGAGACAAAACCCAAAACTAGCGAAACCCCAGCTGCCAAATTTTGCAAATCAGCTCCGTGTGACAGTCTGAGATCCAGTTTGTCGCGCAAGCAATGCCAAACAACCCCCCCTCTTATGAGCAGCTTTCAGACAAAACAATGATCTTTACCCTTCCACACTGTTTTGCCCAAAAACATGGCCCCACTTGCCAAAGACCTGTCCACGGCCCGACACTCTTCCACCCAACCCTCCGAACCTCCGAAAACATGTCGCGCGCCTCGGTCTCGGCCATCTTGCATGGCACCCCCGTGGCACAGGCCAGGAAGGTGGTTGCAAGCGGCCGCGATGGCAACCCCCAAAAGGGTCGCTGAAACTTCTGCCAGCTCTGTGGAAAAATACACCTCGCGTTTTCACTCGTGTTCCAGTGGCTGACTCCATGAGTACTGCAACAAAAAGAGGCTTGCACTTCAGAATAGGTGAAACGAAGTCTGATTCTCAGCTTTGCCACTGTGAGTACGGCACGCGCGGCTTCAATTCTCTCCAATGCTTTTAGTGGGCACGTGTCACGCTGGCAGGCGCTGCCTTTTCCACGCGAACAGGCGGCGCCTCTTTCCGCGAGCTCAAACCAAGCAAGCCACCCTGTGCGACGGCGGAAGAAAAATGTCGAAGTCAGGCGCCCAGAGGGTTGGCTTTCTGGCTCCCTCGATCAGACCCTTTATCTCCATCTGTACCTCAAGAGACTTCTGACGTCGGCACAAATGTTCCCTTACATGGGTGTGTCTGCTTTTAAAAATACCCTTTGTACCTTGGTTCCACAGGAAAACCAAAAAGCCAAAAAGGAAGACACTGTCTTTCCGTGAGGAGGGGTCCCTTATTTGAAACACACCCACGTTCACCTAGGTCAGTGCTGAAAGCTGAGTCTGCGAGGCTGCAGGATGGACCGTCACCCTTGCGCCAGTCACCCAACAGGTTGCAACCAGCAACCAGCCAGGGCTCCGAATTTTGTTTGTTCCTAGGTTGCATGTGGCTTCTCCTTAGAACCATGGGTTTTGCCCCAAAAGACTTGGGGGAACCCCACAACACCAAAACGTCAGCCAGACGATAAGGGGCGCGCAAACGCCCTCTCAGAAGCTGCCAACGCGCCATCTCCGAGCCTTGGGAAGAAACCACGGCGAAAGCACCCAGCTTGCCCGTGGAATCTGGAGTGCATATCTCACATTTCGATGGCTTGGTCAAAGTGACAATTCGGGCGGTTCGGAAGCTAGCCACAACTGGGGACTGGTTAGCGAACAACTCAGGGGGAACAAGTTTCACGGCCTCGGAAACCTGTGCATGTGCAAAAAAAGACTTCCAAACAGCGGCATATTCACTCACAAGCTTGTAGACGTTATGCCGGGGAAGAAGAACTAGATGAATTCAGGTGCCCCAAAGATACATTTCAAGTGTGGTGCAAAGGTAGCTCATGCAAAAGTGGAGGCTCCAGCCGTTTTGAGTTTATCACCAGAAAATGTCCCTCCCAAAACTCCGAGCTGTTGAAACCAATTGCCAGGTCCTCTTTTGAGTGCCTTTTGACAGCCCTGTCTTTTCGTCGACGGCATTCCATCGCGGATTTTTTCCAAATGGCATTCCATGGTGATCCCCGGGCTGATTTTTGCCTGGGGGATCAAGCCCCGACTCGCTTGATTGCAACCAGGATTGCCATGAGCCCCGTCTTTTCCATCGGCAGCGGAAAAACAAATGTGGCGCTCGCTCCTTAAATTGGGGAGCCTTCATGGGATCCGGCACTTTAACCCTTTGGTGGAGTTTGTTTCAAACTCGGCGAACCTTGATCAAGGTGAACCCCCTGCAAAGCGCTGAACCCTTGTGCAAGAAAGAAAATGACCTTACACCCGTACTGAGCAACCGGGTTTGACGATGAGGTAGCAGGCGCCAGTCCAAACTACAGACCCACTGACTCGCTTGTGTGCTGTGTGTTGTCGCCTGTGGCTCGCATGATGCATGCTTGGTCTTGGTACATTTGCTACGCATTCTACAGAGAAAACATAGATTTCGGGCACCCCGATTTTCGCTGCTTGCCCGACTGCCCGGTCGCCCCGCCTGCCTCCTGGCAAAGGAAGAGATTTGGCCTTCGGGGCACACACGCTTCGCGAAGTCTCGGTTCATGGTCAGCGTTCCTTTTGGCGTTTGCCATTTGGGTGTGTGTTTTTTTGAGGGTGCCCCTTTTTGGTGGTGTTAAGGGACAAAGAGGAAAACCACCATTCTAGGGGGCTCCAACCTTAAAAAAGACACCCACATTTCAAGATCCCACATTGCAAGTCGCCTGCGCGACCTTTTAGGCGCTGTGCGTCTGATGTTTGGGCACTCCAAGCTGCGAAACCGATCCGTATAGCGGAGCTCGAAAGTCCCACCCCCCTGGCAACCAGACCCAGACCCCCAGCGGCCATGAGAAACAAAAGAATCCCATTTTATGGTAGCTGACTTCAAAGGGAAACCGGGAAACCGCCCTTAAACAAGAGGAAAGACCGCTCCACCGGAGGTTTGGGGAGAGGCCGATTTCGGAGAGTGGGATCCCGAAGATCAAACCTCCAGGCGCTTCAAAAAAGCCAAGCACTGGCTTTAAGTCTGGCTTTTGGGCGCGCATACAGCAACATATGCTGCAAACATGGCTAGCTAGCAACCACAAAAAAGGGATCAGAGTGTCCAAGAAGGCACAAACAACAACAAAGCCAGCAAAAGCGGCCTGGAGGACTGATCCAAATCACAACAGGGAGCGGAGTTCTTTCAACACTTCTGCACAGTCCTTCTGCTGCTCCTCGATCTTGATCTTCTCTTCCTTCAAGGCCTCTTCCTTTGCTTTCATCTGCTTCTCATTCACGCAGGCCTTGATGACTGCTTTGGCCATCGACTCCTCATAGGATTTCCTGTAGTCCGGGTGTTGGATACTGCCCACTAGGCCGCCAAGACAGCGAACCCTGACGCTCTTCACAAATTCTGGGGCGCTGAGCGCTAAGAGGATGGTGATCGTGCCCATGTAATAGTCATATTGCCGTTGGGGATTCGGGAAATTCAAGGAAGACGCCACCGTCTGCTTCTCTGCAGTTTCCTCCTGCTTCTGCATCGTCAGGATGCCTTCCTTCTTCATGCGGTTCACATATTTTGCGGCCAGCGCAATCACACCTCAAGGTTCCCTCTAAAAGGTCCCCACGTTTCACTATGCCCCACACAAATCCTGAAATCACTGAAAAAGCGCTCCGCTGGGAATACAACAAAAGTGGACGCCTCCGTGCTGACCAGTCTGGTCTGTGATCTTCAGCCCCTCCTTCAGACCTGCTGCAGCAGATGGGAACTCTTGCTCGAAGTTCTCCCCAAGGCTCCTAAAGAGCCCGTCCTGGCCGAATCCCGCTTGAGCCACAATCAAAACGACATCAGCTTTTGACCCACCAAACATTTGTGCTTTGACTCTGGTCCATATTTACAGAACCGTAAGATGCAACATCAGGCAACATCGAATTGGAAAAAGGCAAGAACAGCGGGGAACATGGTGAAGGGATCAACCTGAAACCCATGGCGGAAAATCAAAAGGCCGGATTCCCGCAGCAATCTATGCTTGGGTCTGCCCCCTGCAAATTAACTCTTATTACTCGCATGTTGATTGTTGCTCTGATGCATGTTCAAAAAGAGTCGGTGTTTGACCCCAATTTGATTGGCCCCGGTCCTTCAACGCTTTCTCCACCTCCTCACTGCAGGTCATATGCTGTGGAGCGGCTCCCTGAGCAAGCAGACCGTCCTGCGTTGTCCGCATCGCTCCGATGCTGTTAATCCAGTTCTCATGATCCGAAATCGACTGATGAAATGCGTTGTCTGCATGCACCAGAAGGTGGTCCAGAAAACCTCTGCGCATCGCCTGGAAAACTGTGTCGTGACCTCCCAGCATCTCGATCAACACCTTCATGTCTTTCTTCTTTGAGATAGTCTGGTGCGCACATCTCAGGCCCGCCACCATGAGATAGCTCGTCTTCTGTACAAAGTACAGCGTAACTGGTCGCATAGTGGCGGCCTTGATTTTCACTACCTGCACCACTTGTCTTATGGGCTGCGGGAGGAACAGCTGCTCTATATCCGAGGTGTCAGCATTCAAGATCCGAATCTTGTCCGCCTCCTCCGGGCGCAGGTAGTCCAAGGCCATGTGCTCAAAAAAGTCCCCGGCTCTCCCGAGACCTGGACCTGGCAGGAGCTTCTCCCCCTGCGCCCGCACGCGCTCCATGATCTTTGGAGCACTCTCCTGCCAAAACTTGTCGAAGGAGGAGGATGAGTGCTCACCGGCCCGGCTGTAGTCGATCATCTTGATGCCATTCTCGTAAGCGGCATCGGCCATTGCCGCATCATCAAAGTCGAACCGGGACTGGGACAAACCCTCCTCCTCCTCGAGAAGAGTCTGCCCAAACTCCTGAGGAAAAAAGCACAAAGAACCTCACTGCAAACGACGTGGTGCGCAACATGAACTTGCATGAGTGAAGTATCATCCCTTTCGTCTCTGGGGGCGGACTTTCGTGATCCTTCCCTTCTGAGAATGCCAATGGGTTCCAGACCTAGAGCAGGCCCTGAAGCTGGCGAAAGCCTCTGGGATGGTCTTCCATGGGCTCTGCTTAGGTTGTCGCTGGATTCAACTGCGGCCCGAGCGAGCTCGCCGCCTTATAAGCTGGGGTGTCCAAAAGTACTGAGCTTTGATGATCTCCACTCAAAAGCAACTGTTCGGATTTTAGTATACTCCGCCGGCAAAAGAATCTACCTCACTTCCAGGCTCCTCCACAGTTCCCACCTCGGACAACATGCTTCTCGATGCTTGGCCAGGCACTCGAGATAGGAAGTTCGTGCTGTCGGACAACACCTTGAGCCAGGACTTTTGGTTTAAGGGCACTTGACAAGGAGCCTGAAAATGAAATCATTGATTCGCCGGGTCGTATAAGTCCGGTAGAACATGCCACCCCACCTTCGAGCACAGCAGCTCTATTTTCTTGCCTAGCTCTGCAGCGTCCAGGTTCCCAAGCTCGTTGTCGATCTTGAGAAGTCTCTGCCGGAGCTTGCCCTGTGCAATCCAGGTCGGGCTTATTCGGGTTGACCCATCCATTGTAAAAGGGCATATTCATCACCTGTTTGTGCTTGAGTCTACCCCAATCCCATGATACAGAACGAACGAGAAAAGCGGACCCCCCAGCTCTTTGGACTGCCCCCTAACCTTCACCTATCACCCAGGCTTGGAGCACGCGCCTCATGACGACTGAGCTGATTTATCATGTTCACCAGCAAGGACTTGTCCATCTTCAGAGCGCGCTGCTCGATGACGGGCTGCACTTTGCTGAATCCGCACCGCGCCCAGAAGTCTTGGAGCTCGTCCTGAGAATGGCTCACTTGCGCGCAAAGGTCCGCCAGCTGATCGTCTTCTTCCCTGTTGGCATCCTTGTACTGCTGTGTTCTCCGGCCCGGACTACTCTCGTCAAGCTTGTGGGTGTATCCCACTACCAAGGGCTTGACACTCTGCCATCCTTCCATCCTGTCGCATTCCTCCATGCGTGCCTTGATGCGTTCCGGCAGGTTTTCCGGAGCACAACTTGCAAACCATTTGTCGCTCTTCGTAAGAACCAAGAATCGACGATCCAGGCCGATGTTCAGATCCTTCTGCGCGAAAAGCCCAAACATGGCGTTGGTGGCCTCTGTTGCGTCCGCTGAAAAAGACACGACTACCTTAACCTGAACGCTGCTTTGATGTTAGGTCGGCATACATCAAGAAATAAGAAGGCACACAAAGAAACAACTACGGAACACCCCCAACAGCGCAAGGACGCTTTGGGTAATTTTTGTTCGCGAAGTGTTTGAAGTGCCACTGGTCGAGCTGCTGGGTCTTGGTCTGCATCTGCCAAACACACCACTACGGTGTTAGTCTTCTGGACAGCCTCCCCGACCATGGCCAGGATCATTTCATTCACACCTTCGAACGTAGTTGGACCGACCCCTTCTTGCAAGATTGCACAGGATGAAAATGCTCATGTAAAGCAGGCTTTCCAGTGGTTCTGTGACCACTAACACCCATGTTTTTTGAACAACCTGCTTTGGGAATTTGCATTTGAAGCCCACATGTTCTGCCTGCCTTCGAAGCCCTTCTCTTGCGCAGCCCGGAGCCCGGGGAGGTCCATGATGCGCCGTGGAGTGTCGCACTCCTGCGAAGCAACACCCACTGTTCAGTGCCAAGATGGTGGCCATCCCCATTCAAGCAGCTTTTCTTTCGGGACCACTTGGGAAGCCGCGATCCCTCAAAAAGCTGCAACTTCCGAAGGTCGAGCAAAAAACGACTTGAGGGGCCCGCCCACTGATTCAATGGGTACAAGCCCATTACTCTGTCCTGCGTGCAAATCGTGATGAAAAGCCGCTCTTTCACCACCTGCTTTCCCTGCTGGCCCACATCGTTCTTCTCACGCATCCACTCATGGAGCTTCGTCACCGAATCGTCCCCCTTCCAAGACCAGCCATGGGGAGAAAAAATGCACCTTCCTGGTCTGTCTTTTTTTAGGGGACTTCCTTTTGAAGAAAAGAAGCCCAAGAGGGAAAGCCACCATTGTGGAGCGTCACCTAAAAAAAGACGCGCCCGGAAAGGGAAACCCACTCCTGTGCCTGAAAGGTCTTCTCCTCGCTCTTCTCGCCAGAAGGAAGCTCTTCCACAACCTTGATGAGCGTCCCTTTACCCGGAAACAAGGTCAGCACAGAGGGCCTCCGCGTCGCCAGGCCTTGCGCAACCTTGCTGAAGGCGAATTTTAGGTACCTTGCGGCTTCAAAATCTGAAAAGCATCCAGGCAGTAGCCAAAGGGGAACACAAACGCGCTTGTTGAAACAATAGGTGTCTAGAGGTTGCCTGGTCATGGGTATTTCAACATGTCGAAGCAGGGAGCTGGCGAACCCAACCTGCCTTTCCACAAAGGTGGTTTTGCCAGCAGATTGCTGGCCTACAACCACCAGCAGCGCCGACTCAAAGTCCTCAATGGCGTACTTGTTCGACACCTGGAGGGGTCTGGAAATTGCAGGAACAGCGAGGTTCATGTTGGTTTCCCTTTGAAGCGACTCCAAACAAAAGACACCCACCTCCCAGGCTTTAGAGATAGCCTTCATCAGCTTCTTGGGGTCGAAGCGCGTATGCACGGATTGAGGCTCGCTCTGCATCCTTCGTGGCAGTGCCTTGCCCGGAGGTTTTGGAAGATCCCGTGGACCCAGGTCGGACGGGAGATCCGGCTGCCCGTGCCGGAAAAGAATGGCACTCGCGGGCGGATCCTTGGGCTCCACAGCCGAGAGGCCCTTGGCGGAAGTTTGGCCGCTCTGGGCGGGGGTCGAGAGGCCGCGCCAGGCCGCTCTGGATGGGGGTCGAGAGGCCACTCTGGGCGGAAGTCTGAGCAGAAGTTGGCCCTGCACTTGGAGTGTTCTTAGGCGGCTCGATTTCGAAAGCAGAGCTAGCATGATCTGATCGGGCAGGATGTCCTTGCTTCCACTGCTCAACTTGCGCTGGGCAAAATGGCTCTCGGAGCTGGCTCAGCCACATGTGTCATGTCAGCTCGAAACAAGTTGCTGGACGGCTCCCAAATCGGCTTTTCCCTACACAAGTCGCAGTCACTGAGATCCAAAGCTGGGTGTCTGATTTTGATTGCTCCAAAGGGAAGCGCAGGAAAGCCACCCACGTCTACATGTTGGCTCCGCTAGAAAAGACGGGCACAGTCAAATATCGCCACGTTCCTCTGAGTTTGTTTTGAAAGCAATGATACCCCCATTTCCTTCCTCCCACCCAGAAGGCCCTCAACGGAACACCGCGATTTGGCTCGTGGCTCGCACCGCGGATTCGGCTCACGCGCCTACGCTGCTCCAAGGGCTCGGGAGTCACACGGGGACAGGCCTTCTGAGCCAAAGAGACGGCGCGAGCTGTTCCAAGCGCTGAGTGCTGACTGTTGCACGCATCCTCAAAAGCATGATTGCCCTTGTGCACACAACCTTTCCAACCCTTGGCATGGTGGCAGAAAACAGTGTTTTGTGCAGCCCCCACGAAAAATGAACAGACCCCCAAAAACAGACTTTAAAAACAATCCAATCAGTGAAAGAAAACGCGACATTCTGACACCTGGTCTTATTGCCAACTTCGTGTGGCATTCGAGCTCTGTTCGCCTCGCTCCTAAACGAGAGCCACGCCTCACGGCCCACATGGGCAGTTGCCCAACCCGTTACATCCCGATGGAAACCCTTGGCCGTCTGCACCGATCTTCCTTCTCTTCCCCAAAGGTCCAGGGGTCCACTTTCGGACAACTGAAGAGCGGAGTGCTGAGATGCTGTACAGTCAGCTGGCGTCGGAGCCCGAAATCAGAGCTTGCAGCCCGGCTCAAGGATCTCCCTCGCCCCACTCCAAATGTCCTCGGGCTGTGGGACTTTAAAAAAATACCTGCTAGGGGGGGGCCTGGGAACTTGCCTCATTTTTTAAGCATCCATTTATTGTTGGTGTCCTTTTCTGGAAAATTGACCATGCGCGATATAGCATCCACTCAGAACACAAACAGCTGGCCATGTCTGCCTTGCGGATCGAGTCCTGTGGGACCCTCTGGTGTCCTTTGACTGCGAACCATCCAATGACTGCTGGACCCCCCCCCCCTCCCCTCCCCCAAAAAAAAGAAAATAAACAATGATGATAATGATAAGAACAACAACAACAATCGTAATAACAATAGTAATAATCATAACACCGACAACAATGATGATAAGTATCTAGCTGTCTGTCTTTCATGTCCCTTCGAAGCAATCCAAAAAGTAGCAACACCGGGGCAAATCAATAAACTACCATTTTGCGCCCATGGTCTAATAATTTAGGCCCGTACAGCAACTGGATTTGCACTTGTCCAGCACCAAAAGATGGTATTTCCCTCCAGTAGATGCTTTTCCTTTGGGTGTTCCTGCAAAACCATCCGAAAAGGTGATTAATTGATCTCTTGCTTAAAGTTACCCTTGTGCAATATGCCATCAATATCCACAAATCCCTCCAAAGTCTAAGCTGAAAGTCTAAGGAACCGCTAGGCCCCAGGCACTGGCGAGGTCAAACACCCCACCCACCCCATCCGCCCCACCCCGCCCACCCGCCTCCACAACCTCCTTGGCCGGGCGGTCTTGCGCCAGCCGCGCCGCCTGGCCCGCCCAGGCCATCACCGTGTCCACCGAGGTGGCGGCGCTCTGCATCCTCAAAACTTCCAGTCACCCCAAGTCACCCCAAGTGGGAACCCTCTTAAAAAGAAACCAGCCCACTTTCTGACTTTGATACCCTGCAAGTTGCTTCTTCGTCCCCTGGAAAAATATAAGCTATGTCCAGTAGTGTAATAAATTATCTGTAAAGTCAGGGGAAAATAAAACATGTGTCTTGAGCAAATGGACGAAAAACGGACTGCCGAGTGTGCGAGTGGCAAAAGATGGTCCCATTCCCACTTCCCCCCGCCCCCCCCCGAATTGGCATGTTTGGTGTTCAGGGGATGGTTTCCCATTTCTCCTTTACAAGAAGGGGCTCAAACTGTTTTCCCCACTCAAAGGGGCGATCGATTCGGTACGTCAGGTAAGTAGTTAGTAAGCCTGGTTATATCCCACTTAGGAGACTTATGACCATGTTCCTGGAGAGGGGATTCATATAACACCATTTTTTAAAGGAGTTTGATCATCCGAATTTGGGCCAACCATTCCTGTAATGGGGGTTGAACCCAAGCACTAAGGTCTTGCTGGTTCCACAAAGGCAAATGAGAAATGGAATGACCCCAAGAGAAACCATCCAACTGGTGGTTTCCTTTAAGAGGATATGTTCAAAATGCCTTCGGCCTCCAAAATGCCTTCAACGTGTAAAGGACCTTAGACAACCTGCATGCAGGCCTTAACTTGCTGGTTCGATAGGCAAAGAATGAGAAATGGAAGGACCCCTCTAAAAACAAGCAAACAAACTTGTGGTTTCCTTTTGGGGGATCCCCTTCCAGTTCATTCCCAACACCCGGAACGGTCATTCCCTACTGAGCACCGGCAAGCTTTCCCCATGTTCCCACTTCCCCCCAAATTGGCATGTTTGCACAGCTTCCCCCAAATTGGTGGCTTGGTGTTTTGGGGATGGTTTCCCACTACATCCTCTACAAGAAGGGGTTCAAACCCCCCAACCACCAATCCAAGCCACTCAAAAAGGGTAACCTGAAGTTTCCCATGTTCCCATCAAGTCCAAAATACGATAAAAACATCCGCTGGCAAGCAAACCATCAAGTGGCTGTGGGTCAAAACTAGGCACCCCAAATGGAACCCTGGTAAATGGAAAGGACCAAAACCTGCGGTCCGTTGGTGTTATTTTCACCCACACCCAAGTCCCTCGCCTCCCCAGGACCAGCGAAACTGCAGCGGAGCATCGGCTTGGTGAGGCCCCGCTGCACAGGGTAGGGCGCCGGGCGCGGGGCGTCCGGCGCCTGAGTTGCTGCCGTGCAACCAAGGCCGCAGGCGTCAATTTGTTGATCAGCAAGGCCGCAGGCGTCAATTTAAGTTGATCCATCATATTCACACAAGGGACCAGAGGTGTCATAATTTGTTGATCCACCATTCAACATATTCACACAAGGGACACCTTGGTCGGACTTTCCGTCACGCTCAGAAAGATGTGCAGGTTCCTCCGGCTGGAAAGGAGCACCTGAACAGCTAGCCTCCGAAGCGAGGTCTTTCACCAAACCCAATTCCAAACTGGATCTTCATCACTTCTGCGCTTGCAATACAAGCAAAAACCAGAAGTGGCCCCGTCAAACCTTGCACCGTCCAAACCACCTGGCCCCCAAAGCTTGTAATAGTGCGCCGCACACTGTCAGGAATCCTGAAGGAACGTTCCATTGTCAAAAGCCCCCTTTTGGAGGTCGCCATATTGTTGTTGTCCAAATTCCAACAAACCGAGCCCTTGTTTCCTGGGGTCTATGTTTGCAATCTATAGGGTGTTGCGTTCTAACCGCATGGTGGACACATGGAGGGACAGGAGACATTTTGGTAAAATAGATGGCACTGGCAAATGATGACAACCAACCTGCAACCGGTGGAACCCATCTGTTTTCCACCAAACTGATTTAACAAGGCCTTTGCTTGGAGGGTACGGGCTTTGGGGTTGCCAAGCTTCCGCGCGCTTTTCCCCCAACCCCCACCCCCCCCCCCCCCACCCGGCTCCCCAAAGGCGCCTCGGCCGCCTGCACATAAGCCGTCCGCAAGCTGCGGCCCAAGCGCCCGGAGAAGGCGCGCGTGGCTGCCGTGTCCTCCGGGCGTCACGGAAGCCCATCCTGAGCACTTCCTCCAGTGAAGGTTTCCCACCAGACACCCAACCTCATGAACTAAGTCATAATCAAAACCCGGTATGGGAATGGCCTACCCAGAACCATGTAAAGAAACAAGAAGGCGGCCGCAACTATTCATGGTTGGGATTGTCCACTGTACTAACCTTCATCTACCCGGGTTTTGATTGTGGCTCAACTGGTTTATGAAAATCCAAGGGGACATTCAACAAAGGCTGGAAGCAGCTTTTCGTTTCCTGTGATGGCTTGGAGGTGTTCTCGGGTGATCTCCTTGAGAACCTCATATCCCGACACCGCCAATCCAAACCAGGGACGACATCAACCACCCCTTCTGCAAGTCTACCTTGCGCGCTCCAGGGCCAACGAATCAGAAACTGCGGCTTGGGATGGATTAAACCCTATAAATCATGGGATAAACCAACTGGCGCAGGATTTTGTCCATCCACAGTATGAATGGGACTTTCTCCAATTAACTTGTGTGGCGGCTCGGTCTACTGGGCTTCGATTTCCCGCCAATCTGAGTCTCGGGACAGTCTGTTCGACCCAAAACCTCCTCAAGACGTGCCGAAATCGACAGACTCCTTGCGACATTTGCATCGATCTCATGGCTTGCCGAATATTTTCCTGTCCACCCCCACGCCATGTCTTCGTGTCATCGCTTCTGCCCAAGAACAGAACGTGTGCAAGTCATGACCATTCTCTTTAAACCAACCACTCCCCCACCAAAGAAAAAAAGAAAGAAAGAAAGAAAGAAAGAAAGATAAGGAAGGAAGGAAGGAAGGAAGGAAAGAAAGAAAGAAGGAAAGAAAGAAAGAACGAAAGAACGAAAGAAAGAAAGAAAGCAAAAACAAAAAGGAAAGAAAGAAAGAAAGAAAAAACAAAAGAAAGAAAGAAAGAAAGAAAGAAAGAAAGAACGAAAGAAAGCAAGAACGAAAGAACGAAAGAAAGAAAGCAAGAAAGAAGGAAAGAAAGAAAGAAAGAAAGAAAGCAAAACAAATAAGGAAAGAAAGAAAGAAAGAAAGAAAGAAAGAAAGAACGAAAGAAAGAAAGAAAGAAAGAAAGAAAGAAAGAAAGCAAAACAAATAAGGAAAGAAAGAAAGAAAGAAAGAAAGAAAGAAAGAAAGAAAGACAGAAAGAAAGAAAGAAAGAACGAAAGAAAGAAAGAAAGCAAGAAAGAAAGAAAGAAAGAAGAAAAACCGAAAGAACGAAAGAAAGAAAGAAAGAAAGAAAGCAAAAAGAATAAGTAAAGAAAGAAAGAAAGAAAGAAAGAAATAAAGAAAGACAGACAGAAAGAAAGAAAGAAAGAACGAAGGAAAGAAAGCAAAACAAATAAGCAAAGAAAGAAAGAAAGAAAGACAGAAAACAAAAAGAAAAAGTAAAGAAAGAAAGAAAGAAAAACAAAAGAATGAAAGAAAGAAAGAAAGAAAGCAAAACAAATAAGGAAAGAAAGAAAGAAAGAAAGAAAGAACGAAAGAAAGAAAGAAAGAAAGACAGAAAGAAAGAAATAAAGAAAGAAAGAACGAAAGAAAGAAAGAAAGAACGAAAGAAAGAAAGAAAGAAAGCAAAACAAATAAGGAAAGAAAGAAAGAAAGAAAGAAAGAAAGAATGCCAAAAAAATAAGGAAAGAAAGAAATAAAGAAGAAAAAGAAAGCAAGACAGATAGAAAGAACCCCCAATGGAAGGAATCCCCGCAAATGGCCGTTGTAGGCTAGGTCTCCCCTTCAGGGCCGCTTTGCTTCAGCCAGTAACCCCCCTAAACAATTATACTCCTGCACATGCTTCTGTGTCTTCTTTTGAGGGTACCATTTTTTCGTTCTGGTTTTTGTTGTTTTCTGGACACCAAGAGGAAAGCCCCCCACTTTTGGGGGGCCCACCAACAGAAATGATCAAACCTACCTTCTGTCCATTTTCTTTTGAGGTGACCTTTTCTTTTGTCTTGCAACAACCCACCTGGATCGCCAGGTAGTGCGATCGTTTTTTTTTCCCCACCACTCCCCAAAAACCAGCAACAGTGACTGAAGAAGAAAAAAACGATCGCAACTTGGCTATCCAAGTGGGTACGAATCTTACCTTTTGGTGGACATGTTTTAGCTGGGGATTCATGTCCGCCCCTTTTTTTGGTGGTTCCCAACGCAATTGCCATGTAGCTGTGGGTCAAAATAGATACCAAGAATGGAACCTTGGTAAATGGAAACATGGACTAAAACCTGCGGTCCAATTCCTGGTGGTTTGATTTTGAGCCACACCCATCTGGCCCCATGTGGCGCCCGGGCCCCAGCCCCAGAGACATCCCTCGCTCCGTGGCTGGTGGCTCCTCGGGCCAGGGCCGCTGAGCCAAGGCCTCGGCCCAGTGCTCGTTGAGCTTCGCTTCCGGGCACCGCAGCAGCGCGGTGCCCACCTAGCTGGGTGGAGGTGGGGGAGAGGCGGGGGTGGAGGAGGGTGGGGTGGGGTGGATGGGGTGGGTGGAGGAGAGGTGGGTGGGTTGGAGTGGATGCTCAAAATAGGTTTGAGGGTGTTGGTGATGTTAAGGGCTAGGCCCAAATAGACTCGAAGTGACATTGGCATGGAGGAGGTGCGGAAGAATAGAAACCAAGCAGAGGCAAACCAAGAAAGCAAACGGCGGTTGGTCGGAGACCCATCCGAAGCGAGCGAGAAAGAAATCCACAAAATCTGCGAGTCACGATCAAAGGCCGGTTAGTAGGGATCTAAGGTCTATGGCAGAATCGAGAGGCCGGATTCCAGAGCCTGCTGGCTCGGACCGCTGAATCTCAACTACCAATCTCTCATCGTGGCTTCATTTCTTGGGCGCATTCCGCGTGAGAGACATTGGCAAGGGCCAGACAATTGAACTCGTCGTTATTCAGAAGGTGCGACTGATTTCCGATCAGTTCCAGAAAGTGCATACAGGTTTCCAACAAGCGCAGCAGCAGCAGCAGCAGCAGCAGCAGCAAGCGCCAGCACCGGCGCCCGGTTCAAGCGCGGATTCATATGGATCCTCTCTCGACATAACTCTTCAAATGTCTACTATTATCCAATTCACTGATTTGACGTTCAAACTCATTTAGCTGCTTTTCCACTTTTTGCAAATCGCAAAGTCAAATTCGTCGTCAAGCTCATCAAATACCCGTGTCTTGCCTTGCTGTAGCTAAATGATTAAGAAACTGTGAATCACCATATTCAAGACTAAGACCCTTGACCATGTCCACCACCCGTCCACCAGCTGGCTGAGTCAGTTTAGTTCTGGTTTGGACTTTCTTTAGTACTGGCCCAGTATTGACTCAGTAGCTGAGCATTGAGCAGTTCCTGTTTTCACTTCGGGGGTCCAGGATTACCATTCATCACGAAGGTATTTGGAGGGTGATTCTGACGAGCAGGTTGAAGCAACTATTTGAGTGTGTCTTTTTTTGGAGGGTGCCCCTTTTTCGTGAGTTTTGAAGGGAAACTAAAAGGAAGTCCGTTGCGCCATTTTGGGGGTTCCAAAAAAATGACACACCCATGTCTTCTTTTCGGGCTGCCGGATTGGGGGCTTCCGACTTCCTGTCTCCTGGCCTGATGCAGGTTGAGTGGATGGACAAAATTCACCAGTCGGAGATTTGCCCCAGTTTCCATCCACAGCATAGCGAGAAACCCCCCACAGAACGCGCCCAATCAGGGATCCCCCTACTATTTTGAGATTTCCTCCTTTCCCTGTCGAAACCAACCAAAACGGGCTCCCTAAAATCCAGAGTGCTTGTACATACCCCTTTTACATACCCCTTGGAAAAATGCACCCAAAAGGCCTGCCGATGTTCATACCCCTCTCCCCAAAAGGAGTACATACCCCTTAAAAATGTATAAAGTGGGTTGGAAACCAGGGAAGCCAAGGGGTATGCCACCCTTAGATACAAGAAGGACGCACCCAAAAAGGGGCCCGGGACCTGCACCGCGGAGGCCCCCAGCACCAACGCCGCCGCCGCAGTCTTTGGGTCCCCGATGCCCCCGGTGGCGATCACTGGGACCTTCACGGCCTCCGTCGCTCGGTCAAAGACGGCCGGGCCGAATTCGAACCACGCGCTTCTCACCAAACAGGTGATATTTTCTACCACCAAGGGCTAGTCTTGTGCGAACAGTTTCCCTCTGCTTGGTGGGCAGGATTGGTGGTTTGGAGGTTTTCCGGAGTGGTTTGCAATTCAGCCACAAGAACCATGAACCATGGGGTGTTTCTCAAATAGGAACCGCTCGATTTCCTAAAATGGTTTCTTTTGGGGATCCGTGGCAGTCCCACTATTGGTGTTGTTTTTCAAAATGTGTGTTAAAACTATTGTCTGCTTAAACAGGCCAAAGCCACTATTGAGTCATGTTTGTAAAAACTATTGTCTGAATCCACCATTGTTTAAACAGGTGAAAGCCCCTGTTGAGCAAACATGTTCACACACAATTGGTTAAACATGCTTGTTTAAGCCACTATTCATGTGGATATGAGTAAACCACAGTTGCGTCTTGCATGTCATTCAAGCACAGTTGCTTTCACCCCGCCAAGGCTAAACAGAATACATCCCCTGACATGAAAGGTGGGCCCTTTTTGGCCCCTCACATAAAAGTGAACATTGCAACCCTCAAAGAGAAACCCTCCGGCACCCCAAACCTCAGTGCCTTTCTTTGAGGCTGCCCTTTCTTGTTGGTCGGTTTTTTTTAGGGAAGCCAAACGGAAAACCGCTAAACAAGTGTTGGAGGGGTTCCCAATAAAAACAAAAGAAGAAAAAGAAGAGGACAAAAAAAAGAGGAAAAAAAAGGACACCAAAAAAGGAGAAGAAGAAACGAAGGCGGCCTTTTGGATCCCAATCCAAAAACAAGAAGCTGAAAGTTGCGAGGGCCTTCGACCTGAAGCGGACCTCCGGCCTCGGCGATGGCGGGCACCAGCGCGAAGAGGCCCACCAGCTCCGACTCCGCGCGCTCGGCGCGGAAGGCGCCCCGGTGCCCGCCGGCCTCGGATTCTCGGCTTTTCGGGGACCCAAGCCCCCCACCAAACACAAAGGAGTGGTCGAAAATTCCCGGTGTGTCGAAAATCCGCATGGGGAGAAAAAAACGCAAGACAGAGCGAACGAACCCGAATGCACATCACTTTGCGCAAACCCAAGAAAATAATTAGAGAGAACATTTTTCGGTATAAGCCAATGGGGCCGCGCAAACTATGTTTTTCAGCTTGTAAAACTGTACTTTGCGTGCTCCACTTGTTGCTACAAAGCTACGATTTTCAATCTGGAGCTGGACACCTGCGCTTCACGCGCTAGACTTGCACTACAAAGTTGCGATTTTCCAGCCAGAGCTGGAAACTTGTACTTCACGTACTATACTTGCACTTCAAAGTTGTGACTTTCCAGCTAGTGCTGGAAACCTGCACACTTCGCGCACTAGACTTGTACTTCAAAGTTGCGATTCTCCAGCTAGAGCTGGTACTACAAAGTTGCGATTTTCCAGCTAGAGCTGGAAACCTGTACTTTGCGTACTAGACCTGCTCTACAGAGTCGCAATTTACAGCTGGAGCTGGAAACCTGTACTTCGCGTACTAGACTTGTACTACAAAGTCGCGATTTTCCAGCTAGAGCTAGAACCCTGTACTTCGCGTACTAGACTTGTACTACAAAGTTGCGATTTTCCAGCTAGATCTAGAACCCTGTACTTCGCGTACTAGACTTGCACTACAAAGTCGCGATTTTCCAGCTAGAGCTAGAAACCTGTACTTCGCGTACTAGACTTGTACAACAAAGTCGCGATTTTCCAGCTGGAGCTGGAAACCCGTACTTCGCGTACTAGACTTGTCAAAGTTACGATTTTCCAGCTAGAGCTGGAAACCTGTACTTCGTGCGCTAGGCTTGTACTACAAGGTTGTGATTTCCAGCTAGAGCTGGACTTCGCGTATCTGTGCTTCGCGTACTAGACTTGTACTACAAAGTCGCGATTTTCCAGCTGGAGCTGGAAGCCTGTACTTCGCACGTTAGACTGGTACTACAAAGTTGCGATTTTCGAGCTAAAGCTAAAAACCTGTACTTCGTGCACTAGACTGGCACTTCAAAGTTGTGATTTTCCAGAAACCTGTACTTCGCGCGCTACACTTGTGCTACGAAGTTGCGATTTTCCAAGCTAGAGCTCGAAACCTGTACTTTGCGCACTGGACTTGCACTACAAAGTTGCGATTTTCCAGCGCGTACTATAGTCTGAGCGACACTTTTGAGCGACACCTGATCAACACTTCTGAACCACACTTTTTCTGATCAACACTCCTGAGCAACACTTCTGAGCGACACTTTTTCTGATCGACACTTCTGATTGACACTTCTGAGCGACAATTTTGAGCGACACCTGATCAACACTTCTGAGCCACACTTTTTCTGATCGACACTTTTGAGCAACACTTCTGAGCGACACTTTTTCTGATCGATTTTTCTGAGCAACACTTCTGATCGACACTTCTGAGCAACACTTTTGATCCGCACTTCTGATGCACACTTCTGATCGACAGTTTGAGCAACACTGCTGAACCACACTTCTGATTGACACTGATGAGCAACACTTCTGATCGAAATTTCTCATCGACAGTGCTGAGCAACACTTCTGACCAACAATTCTGAGCCACACTGCTCATCGACACTTCTGAACGACACTTCTGAGCAACACTGCTGAATTGACACTGCTGAGCGACACTTCTGAGCAACACTGCTGAATTGACACTTTTGAGCGACACTTCTGAGCAACACTTCTGATCGCACTTCTGACCGACACTTGTGAGGAACCCTTCTCATCAACACTTCTGAGCAACACTTGGCATTTCTGAGCGAACTTTTTGAGCGACACCTGATCAACACTTCTGAACCACACTTTTTCTGATCGACACTTTTGAGCAACACTTCTGAGCGACACTTTTTCTGATCAACTTTTCTGAGCAGCACTTCTGATCGACACTTCTGAGCAACACTTTTGATCCGCACTTCTGATTGACACTTCTGATCGACAGTTTGAGCACTTCTGATTGCCACTGATGAGCAACACTTCTGATCCACACTTCTCATCGACAGTTCTGAGCAACACCTCTGACCAACACGTCTGATCCCACTGCTCATCGCCACTTCTGAACGACACTTCTGAACAACACTGCTTGCTGAATTGACACTTCTGAGCGACACTTCTGAGCATCACTTCTGATCGACACTTCTGACTGAGCAACACTTCTGACCCACACTTCTGATTGACACTTCTGAGCGACAATCTTGACAGACACCTGATCAACACTTCTGAACCACACTTTCTGATCGACACTTCTGAGCAACACTTCTGAGCGACACTTTTTTCTGATCGATTCTTTTGAGCAACACTTCTGATCGACACTTCTGAGCAACACTTTTGATCCGCACTTCTGATGCACACTTCTGATCGACAGTTTGAGCAACACTGCTGAACCACACTTCTGATTGACACTGATGAGCAACACTTCTGATCCACACTTCTCATCGACAGTTCTGAGCAACACTTCTGACCAACACTTCTGAGCCACACTGCTCATCGACACTTCTGAACGACACTTCTGAGCAACACTGCTGAATTGACACTTCTGAGCGACACTTCTGAGCAACACTGCTGAATTGACACTTTTGAGCGACGCTTCTGAGCAACACTTCTGATCGACACTTCTGACCGACACTTGTGAGGAACCCTTCTCATCAACACTTCTGAGCAACACTTGATATTTCTGAGCGAACTTTTTGAGCGACACCTGATCAACACTTCTGAACCACATTTTTTCTGGTCGACACTTTTGAGCAGCACTTCTGAGCGACACTTTTTCTGGTCGACTTTTCTGAGCAACAGACACTTTTGAGCAACACTTTTGATCCGCACTTCTGATTGACACTTCGGATCAACAGTTTGAGCAACACTGCTGAACCACACTTCTCATTGACACTGATGAGCAACACTTCTGATCCACACTTCTCATCGACAGTTCTGAGCAGCACTTCTGACCAACACTTCTGATCCCACTGCTCATCGACACTTCTGAACAACACTTCTGAACAACACTGTTTGCTGAGTTGACACTTCTGAGCGACACTTCTGAGCAACACTTCTGATCGACACTTCTGAGTGAGCAACACTTCTGACCCACACTTCTGATTGACGCTTCTGAGCGACACTTTTGAGCGACACCTGATCAACACTTCTGAACCACACTTTTTCTGAGCAACACTTCTGAACAACACTTCTCAGCGATTCTTTTCCTGATCGATTTTTCTGAGCAACACTTCTGATCGACACTTCTGATCGACACTTCTGAGCAACACTTTTGAGCAACACTTTTGATCCGCACTTCTGATGCACACTTCTGATCGACAGTTTGAGCAGCACTGTGCTGAACCATCTGACCAACACTTCTGATCCACACGGCTCATCGACACTTCTGAACGACACTTCTGAGCAACACTGCTGAATTGACACTTCTGAGCGACACTTCTGAGCAACACTTCTGATCGACACTTCTGAACGACACTTTTGAGAAACCCTTCTCATCAACACTTCTGAGCAACAGTTGACACTTCTGAGCGAACTTCTTGAGCGACACCTGATCAACACTTCTGAACCACACTTTTTCTGACCGACGCTTCTGAGCAACACTTCTGAGAGAGACTTTTCCGATCGACTTGTCTGCGCAACACTTCTGATCGACACTTCTGAGCGACACGTTTGAGCGACTGAACCACACTTTTTCTGATCGACGCTTCTGAGCAAGACTTCTGAGCGACACTTTTTCTCATCGACTTTTCTGAGCAACACTTCTGATTGACACTTCTGAGCGGCACTTTTGAGCGACACCTGGTCAACACTTCTGAACCACACTCTTTCTGATCGACACTTCTGAGCAACACTTCTGAGCGACACTTTTTCTGATCGACTTTTCTGAGCAACACTTCTGATCGACACTTCTGAGCAACACTCTTGATCCGCACTTCTGATTGACACTGCTGATCGACAGTTTGAGCAACACTGCTGAACCACACTTCTGATTGACACTGATGAGCAACACTTCTGACCCACACTTCTCATCGACAGTTCTGAGAAACACTTCTGACCAACACTTCTGATCCACACTGCTCATCGACACTTCTGAACGACACTTCTGAGCAACACTGCTGAATTGACGCTTCTGAGCGACACTTCCGAGCAACACTTCTGATCGACACTTCTGAGTGAGCAACACTTCTGACCCACACTTCTGATTGACACTTCTGAGCGACACTTTTGAGCGACACCTGATCAACACTTCTGAACTACACTTCTTCTGATCAACACTTCGAGCAACACTTCTGAGCGACACTTTTTCTCATCGACTTTTCTGAGCAACACTTCTGATCGACGCTTCTGAGCAACACTTCTGAGCGACACTTCTGCTCGACGTTTGAGCAACACTCCTGAACCACACTTCTGATTGACACTGATGAGCAACACTTCTGATCCACACTCATCGACAGTTCTGAGCAACACGTCTGATCCACACTTCTGATCTGATCAACAGTTCTAGTTCTGAGCAACACTTCTGATCCACACTTCCGACAACATTTCTGAGGGACACGTCTGAGCAACACTTCTCAGCAACACTTCTGTTCGACACTTCCGATCGACACTTCTGAGCAACACTTCTGATCGACACTTCCGAGCAACACTTCTGCCGACACTTCCGATGAGCGACACTTTTGATCGACACTTCTGAACGACACTTCTAATCGACACTTCTGAACGACACTTCTAATGGACACTTGTGATCAGCACTTCTGAACGAAACTTCTGTCTCCAAATGCGCACCGCGCCACAGCGAGAGCACCCAAAGCGCGCAGAGGGTTCACTTTGCGCGCTCAAAATGTGGACCGCGCCACAGCGAGAGCGATTCGACCCACCCGATGTGCGCAGAGGGTTCACTTCGCATGCTCAAAATGCGCACCGCGCCACAGCGAGAGCGATTCGACCCACCCGATGTGCGCAGAGGGTTCACTTCGCATGCTCAAAATGCGCACCGCGCCACAGCGAGAGCGATTTGACCCACCCAAAGTGCGCAGAGGGTTCGCTTCGCATGCTCAAAATGTGCACCGCGCCACAGCAAGAGCGATTTGACCCACCCAAAGTGCGCAAAGGGTTCGCTTCGCATGCTCAAAATGCGCACCGCGCCACAGCGAGAGCGATCTCGCTGAGTCAAAGTGACGCGCTTGCCACGAAATCTACACCCAGGCGCACTCAAAATGCGCACCGCGCCACAGCGAGAGCGATTCGACCCACCCAAAGTGCGCAGAGGGTTCGCTTCGCGTGCTCGAAATGTGCGCCGCGCCACAGCGAGAGCGATCTCGCTGAGTCAAAGTGACGTGCCTGCCACGAAATCTACACCCAGGCACCAAAGTACTGCGCCTGCCACGAAATTTGCACGAAAAGCTCCAAAGTGCCGCGCCAGCCACGAAATTCAACCAAAACGCTCGAAAGTGCTGCGCCTGTCACGCAAAGTAGGCTTGCCACAAACTCAAAATCATCCAAAGTGCTGGACCTGCCACGAAATCCAACTTTGACACGTCTACGACACGCATCCAAAACTAGCACGGGACTGTGGCGCCAGAATGATTTCGACCAATTTTGACATGTTTCAGGCCCCCCAAAACAAGCCGATTGTACGACAGGGCCAACGAAAACGGCGCCGGCGCAAACACTATGACGCGCCTGCCAAGCAGGACACCTCAAAGCGACCACCCCTGGATCGCAAATCCCAATGGCACGGCAACGAGAACACGCAGCCTTCCAAAACACTGCGCCTGCGCAGCGAAACGACACGTCGAGTTTTGAGAAGCTACGATTCACGCACAGGACCAATGAAAACAGCGCTTGCCGATCCATCAAAAACACGCTTCCGCGACGAATCCGAATGGCACACGCTTATCGCCTCACCGCGGACGGTTGCGAACGGTTGCGGACGGAAAAACGAAACATGCCGCGAAGATCTCGAAAAATATCCCTCAGCCTGCTGAACCAAACCTCCAAATGCTTTGATTTATCAGGGTCCTCCCAAACCCTGCTAAAAATCAAGGCATTGGAAGCACTGCAAGAAGCTGCAAAAGCAGAACTCCTGCTGGCACAGCTACTGTGGATGGGACAAATCCGTAGCACTGTGAAGCCATGGTAAACCGTTGTTTGTTGGTACGTTGGGGAATCGAAGCAGAAACCGTTGGGTGTCTGAACGGTGAAGAGGATTTCGCAACCGTCCACATGGTTTCATGCTTACCTTTGCCATCGCAAAAGTCAATGGGTGAAACGGGCGAACTAGATCTCGTCGTCCCCAAAGGTACCCTCCATTGTTGACAACCTCCACGCTGTGGCTCAAAAAACCGGTACCCAAAATGGGTTGCCCTGGTAAGTTCATGCGGTTTGCCCCTCCGCTCGTTTAACTTTGAGCCACACCTGTACCCCTGATAAACATCAAAATAGGTGGCAAATGAATGTTCATCCGCCACAAAATAAAGCCGTTGGTTAGGACCCATGGCCATATTTGCGGGCCCCCAATTGGCCCAACAGCAAGCCTAACTCCCCAAAGGTACCCTCCATCTCAAGAGTTAAAAGATAGAACTTGTATACCATATTCATATTCCTTAAAAAATGATTGAGATTTATATAAACACACATCAAACCCTCCACCAACATGCTGATCCTCCACCAACATGCTGACCTTCCTCAAAAACCCACCAACACACACAAAAAAGCTCCACCAAATTGCTGGCCTTCCTCCAAAAATTCACCTTTAAAAAAATGATTGAAATGACATAAACACGTCAAATCCTCCACCAACATTGCTGGCCTTCATTAAAAGAACCCACCCCACCCCACCCCACTTGGCACAATCCTCCACCAACATGCTGACCTTCCTCAAAAAAACCCACCAACACACAAAAAACTCCACCAAAATGCTGGCCTTCGGTGCAAACCGCCTTCCTCCAAAAACCCACCTTAAAAAAATATTGAAATGACATAAACACATCAAATCCTCCACCAACATTGCTGGCCTTCATATGAAAAACCCACCCCACCCCACCCCACTTGGCGCAATCCTCCACCAACATGCTGACCTTCCTCAAAAAACCCACCAACACACAAAAAACTCCACCAACCTGCTGGCCTTCGGTGCAAACCCACCCAAAAATGAAACATAAAACACATTAAACACATACAATACTCCACCAAAAATGATATACTCCACCAAACTGCTGGCCTTCATCCAAAAACCCACCCCACCCCACCGGCCCCGGCGCCTCCATCCCCTGGGCCACGATGGCGTCCGCGCCGGCCGCCTCCGCCGCCTGGGCCTCCCGCACCGTGGTGGCCACCGCCAGCCACCGGATGCCGCGGCGCTGCAGGCGCCGCCTCCGTTCGACGCACTCGACGCACTCGACGCGGAATTTGTGGCCAGAGGAACCAGATGGTCGGCCGGGTGATTTAGTTTTGGTTGCTTGAAACTTGTTTGCTTGGTGGTTTGGTCTGTTGTTTGTCTGTTTGTTTCTTTCTTTCTTTCTCTTTTTCTTTCTTTGTTTGTTTGTTTGTTTGTTTGCTTGCCCGGTTACTTGTTTGTTGCTGTATCTAATACGGTACTAAACTGATCTGAACTAGGCAAAAAAAGTGTGGGCGGGCGCATGTCTAGATGAGTCTGTTGGGTTCACGCTGTCTTACAAACAGACTCTCCTATTTGAAACTGTACTATCCTTTCAGAAGGCTTGCAAGAGCTTCAGAATATGAGTTTTGGACCCAACAGGGATCCAACAGTTAGTCCATTTTGTGCTTGAGCGGTATACAAAACATAAAAACAGAAAAAGCGGCGGCCAATTAATTACGCGGGCGGCAACGCAGAACTGGCATCCTGCATGTCCAACCTACAAAGCATCACCCCACCCAGAGCAGCTCAACAACTTGCCGCAAAGATCATGTTTCAAATCACCAAAAGGAACATAGGTATGTGCCAAAATCGGAGAACCCTCATCTTGTGTGGTTTCCTTTGGTTTTCCCCCAGAAACCTCAACCAACAAACTGGGTACCATTTCAAAAAAATCGCACCAAAGAGAGGCTGCGAGTTTTTGTCGCGGCCGCCAAAGCAGTCTCAGGCGCACCCACTGCTCCGGAAAGACGCCCATGATGGACGAGATCGCCGCCGGCTCCGCTTCGATCATCGCCTCCGGCTTTGGCGGCGGAGGCGGATTTCGGGTTGGTGTCGGGTGGTTTGTTGGCCCAAGGGGTGGTTAAGGGGTAATGTTATCCCCGGATTAATAAACCCCTGTTTATATATATATATATATATTTATATATTTGGGTGTCCTTGGTTTTCGTGGTGATTCATCACTTTTGGAGAGGAACACCCCACATTAATAAACAGGAGTTTATTATTCAACATTAGTGGAGGCTTGGCGGTTTAAGAAGCTGGTTAAGGGTTTGCTAGGGATGGTTTGGGTTCGCGCGCGTCGCTCTGAGTTGCGCACTTCTTCCCAAGCTGGGGTCTGGCCTACATCCACTTGGGCCTGACAAAACATTCGCGCCAACATAATTCTACAATGCCTTCCGCAGGCCCGCTCCTCAGCGCGGCCCTGGCTTTCCAGCTTCCTTCCAGAAAGCAGTGTCCCCAGCGCTGGGTTTTGGCACATTCCTGCTGTATGATGGTTTCAGGGCTGGGACACTGCGCAGACCGCAAGCAGCCAACACATTGATGCATTGTGACCCCTGTCACTTGAGCAGAGAACCTTCTTATTGTCCACTAGCTACAAAACTCAAAAAACCTCGGGAAGAACCAAAAAAACAAAAAAAACAAAGCCCCTGGCAAAAGGTTTCCAGCCTGGCACTTGAACATTTCCCTGGGGGCTTTGGTTTTTTTGGTTTTTTTTTTAGTTTTGTTGGTTTTTCCCAAGGTTTTTTGAGTTTTTCTTGCTTTTGTAGTTTTTCTCGAGGTTTTTTTGTTTTTCTCGGTTTCCTTGAGTTTCTGTAGGTTGGACCTCTTCTGCATGCTCTCCGTGATCGAAGCCTCAGGTGTAGGAATTTCGCCGAACAGCGCCTCCCTAATCCTACTCCTCCTCTGAAGGTCCTTCTTCTCGTCTTCGGTCTGCTTGCGCTGCGTGTACCGCTTGTTCATGATTGCTGACACCCACTCTTGCTCCTTGCGAACCTCTTCCACGAACTGGTCGGGGAGCTCTTTGGTGCCCGCTTTGGGTACACCGTACACCCTTTTTTTTTTCGGAGAACAGATACTCCTCGTTGTAGGGCACCGAAATACGGTGGACCTGGTTGGCGTTCACGCCGGCCATGCGGTAGTAGATGTGGGTCTTGGTATTCACGAGGAAGCAGGCGCGCTTGAAGATAGCATCCATGTGCGCACGCGACGCGCTCTGTGCAAAGGCAGGGCGGACCAGCAGCCAAAACGTTTCAAAGGGCACCTCCAGCATGAAGTCCGCAGGCATGTCAACCTCTGAGTCGTAGCTGTTGTCCGCCCCTGCCCGTGGCTCGTTTTGCACCCACTTGGTCGCACCCCGCCGGGCCCAGCACATTGACTCATACAAGCCTACGTCAAGGAAGGCCTTGGCCATCTTCATCGAAAGAGTGCTCAAGGAAGTGTCGTCCAAGAAGTCCCCCATGAGTACCGAGCCTGGCTCTCCCCTCAAGAAATCAATTTCCGGAGTGCACCTGATGCACGGGGCGCCTTCCACCTTGAACTGGACTTGGTTGTGGCGAGCCTGAGCCATGAGCGCGCTACGGCCCAGCGGGCTCTTTCCCATGCCAGCCTCGCCAAGCATGACGGGAAGGTGAAGTGCTTCAAGACGGCCTTCTTGCCATCGAGGCGGGTCGTGATGACGAATTGCAACTTGGTGTTTGCCGGCACACACTCCCGCGAGCCAAACGGGGGGGGCATCAGCTGCAAGTCACTCTTCTCGCAGGCTTGCTTGTAGAGACGGCCCAACTCACTAATGTTCACTTCACCCTCGAGGTCAGCGATGAGGTCGAGGCAATGCACCAGGGGGTTGTCAGTGCTCGAGATCTCTTCCATGGGAAGGTGCCTAGCGGTTGCTCCGCCGTGGTCACCGCGTCGCACGGGCGACAAATCAGCCCGTCGACAACCTCCTTAAGGTGTTCGAAGGTCATATCCTCGGCCTGCATGGCTACCTAGTGAAGTTTCAGCCAAGGGCTGAGTACTGGGAATTGCTACTTGCTGAAATCTGCAGAAGTAAACGTGCGGATGCGTTGATGACTGTTTAGGCTGCATTTGCACACATAAGACCACATCACATTAGACACATTGCCGTCAAGCCATCCACCAAGCCTTCCTTCCCACAGAGTCCGTTTAGAGATACCTGTGTCCCCAGACAGTGTTTTCCGAGCGTTTTTCCTTTATTTTGACATATTGGGAAAACATTGGTTTTATATGGAAAACACACGCGCTGGGGACACTGCCCTCTCCTTCCTTTCCGTCAGAAGAACTTGAAACAGCTGCCAAGCTGTTAAAGTCCGACTCTCCATCTGCACGGCCTTTGTGAATGCCGGCCTGCAGTTCCTGAAGCGACCCATGTCAACATGCCAGGAGCCTGCGGGTCCTTCTCGATGCGCGAATTGGGGAATCGAAATTCACAAGATTGGGTCCCAAAGGCCTGGTGGTTGTCCCCTTTCCCTTTCCCAAAACAAAGCCATGGGTGTATGGTTGTCCGAGTTAGTTTTCTTCAATCCACCCTCAAAACTGTTGTTAGCTGTTTCGCGTCAGGGTCCATCCCCTCGACCTTTACAACCCCCAGGCCCCAAATCGCCCAACAGCCAAAAGCCTCCTTACGACCTTCATCCAAAACCCCCAAACGCCCCAAACGGGGGACGCCGACCTTCATCCAAAACCCCCAAACGCCCCAAACGGGGGACGCCGACCTTCATCCAAAACCCCCAAACGCCCCAAACGGGGGACGCCGACCTTCATCCAAAACCCCCAAACGCCCCAAACGGGGGACGCCGACCTTCATCCAAAACCCCCAAACGCCCCAAACGGGGGACGCCGACCTTCATCCAAAACCCCCAAACGCCCCAAACGGGGGACGCCGACCTTCATCCAAAACCCCCAAACGCCCCAAACGGGGGACGCCGACCTTCATCCAAAACCCCCAAACGCCCCAAACGCCCCAAACGCCACGCGTTCCGCGTCGTTTCTTTTTATCCCGTCGCCTCCATCTGTAGGTCGAAGTTCTGCGGCTGGGCGTCTCCGGCCGCAGAGGGCACCGCCGGCCCGAAGCGCCCCAGGAAGTCCCTCACCCGCTGCTCCTTCCACGGCATGTCAAAACCGGGCGAGAGTCGACAAACCTAAGGTCACCAAGCAAGACTTGTGCCTGTTTCTTTGGGAACACCCAAGGAATGGGCAGTTTCCATTTGAGCCACAATCAAAACCCGGTATTAAAATGGCCCAGAACCATGTACAGAATCAAGAAGGCGGCCGCAGCTATTTATGGTTGGGATTCTCCCTTACTAACCTGCATCTACCCGGGTTTTGATTGTGGCTCAATTTGACGTCCCTTGGAAACCACCACACAAAAAAAAGTGGGGGGCTCCCCGAAAAAAGAACAGACTTGCTATGAAGCACGTCGACGTGGGAACTTCCTGGGATGCAGAAGTGGAAACCCCTCTGGCGAAACCAAGTCAAAGATTTTGGGGTCCTCAAACAGGCGTTTCCATCTTCATCGATCCGAAGAGGTGTCATCTGGCTTTGAACCTCAACCTGCTCAAACCACATGTGTTGTTTTCTTGTGAAACCAAATGGTCTAGAGCGCAAGCAAAGTGGACCAAAGGTAAACAATACTAAGAAGAAAAAACAAATGCATAATGTTCCTCCTTCAGCCTTAAATGGGGTAAAGTGGTGTTTGACACAGAATATTAGAGAGAAATTTTGTAAGAAAAACAGATCCTTCATCTACCACGCTCACCATTGAGGTTGATCCCTTTTGCATGCCTTTTGAGAGAAGCAAACCCAGACATCACCTGCAAATCAAATGCCGGTTCTTTGCTGATTCTCAATATGGCGATGCTTGGAGCAAAGCTGGCTTTCAAATTTGAGGCGCTTCAACACGAACCCCAGAAATGCGGCTGACGACCTCTTCTGAGAAGGGTCGTGTGTGGCCGAAGCCCGCACATGCCCATCGTCGGTCAAGAGGAGCCCTTTCAAAAGCTTGGAACTTGGATATGTTCCTCCAAAGGGAGATTCGTTTTCTCACTTGGCTAGTGACCAGCCCAAAAAAAAGTGTACACTTTTTGGGCCACCACCAAAATAAAGGGAGAGCCACCGAGGAAAAAAGTGTAAAGTTTGTCCACTGGCTGCGTGAGTTTTTGGTGTCATCTTGGGCGATCCAAGGCTCAAAACCCGGTTCTCAGGAGTTTACCCAACGCACCCGCAAAGAATCCCGCTAACCCCAGGCTTCACGTTGGCTTAGAGGCTCAGGTGTTCGTGTCTCCAAGGAAACCTTGGGTGTTCCTTAAGCGGTGTCCTCATTTGCTGCTCTTCCGGTTCTCCTTCTTTCTCCTGCTTTTCCCGGGTGTTCCTTCCGTTCCTGTCCCCCTTCCCCCCCCTTTCCCCCCCTTTTAAGCCCCCCTCCGGTCATGGTCCGCGTCCCGCGCGGGCGGGGGGTCCGGCACCCAGGTGTTCATCTGCAGCGGGCCCCCGCCCGCGGCTCGGAAGCCCGCCGCCCAGCCGGCGATCTGCTCCGGCGACATGGCCAGCACCCCGCAGGCGCCCATGCCGCCTGCGAGGTGCTCGACGGCTTCTTTTTTTTTGCTCTGAGCGAGGCGAGCGAGTGGGGAGGCGCCGCCTTGTTCACAGGGGTGTCCAGGGCCCGTTCACGCCGATCCGAGAAGTTCTCTCCATGGTCCAGTTGGAACACCCGGTCCAAAGTCGCACTGACTTTCAGGGATCAGCAACCAAGAAATGGTTGGCCATTTACCACTTGACGAGGAAACGAGGACCATTTGCAGGTTTGGAAAATCCTTAGACAGCTGGGCAAAACTTTTGGAGGCCACTGTTCACGTCTCCAAAGGACAAGGCCAATGTGGATGCACAAGGGTTCTCCAGATTGCATCAGCTAAGGCTGACAGAGGCATGGTCGTACGGGGGTTGATCAATGCTCCCTTTTTCCCTCCTGATGATCATCGGCAACTTTCCCATTTGGGTTGCAATATCAAATATGTTTAGCTTTCTAGTGGTTCTGCCCAATGGCTATTCCATGAAAAGGACCTTTTGATCAACCCCCAGATGCAGAGCGCACGCGCAGCTCGCGGTTTAAAAGCTTCTAAGACTTACAAAAGACAGTTCTTTCTTGGTCCATTTTTCGCCATGTTGTGTTAGGCGTGAACTCCGAACCGGTCACAGTACGCGCAAGGTCCCAGAACGGAGGTTGGCGGTTCCAGGCCTCAGACGTGCCTTGGATTGCTGTGGGCCTTGGGGGTTCGCCCCTCTCTCTCCAAACATGAACAGGGATCCCCACCTGCATTGGACCACTGCTTCCCTTTCCATTTCTCAAATCGATCGTCATGGTGGCTTAAAGGGGTTCACCAGTACCCGCGAAAGAACTTCTCAAGAACCAGTGCAAGTCAAACAACTTGAACAAACATTGGTGACGCGTACCTTGCGGGTCCGGAAACCCAACCCACCATCCCCCATGCATCCATCCATCCACCACCCACCTCCCCCCCCACCAGCCGGCTGACCGGCTGACCGCCCTGAGCCTCCACTCGCCACCGCGCTGGCCAGCGCCACCGGGGAGGACCCCGCCATGGGCGCCATGATCACCTCGTCTCAGGTCCAGTCGCTTCTCTGGGGTGCGCTCGCCCTTTTCTTGTAGGACCAACACCCCCCCCCCCCCGGCCCAACAAAAAAACTAACAGAGCCGTTTTGCCGTTGGAGTTTTCCCTTCATATTCAAAATGTCCCCCGTTTTGGAGGGTTGACAATCCCTAGCCCCATTTGTGCAGTGTGTGCAGGGGGTTGATGACAAGTTTCTAGCAATTTGATGTTGGCCATTTTATTATAGCAAATTGGTAAACGACTTCAAGCAAGGAAATCTGGATGAAGACCCCCAGCTGAGCTCCTTATAATCTGTCCATACAGTACCCCATGTGTCAAATATCGGGATTTGGCCTCAAAAAATGATTGTTTCCTTTTCAGGGAGATGGAAAGGGTACAAGCCTACGGTAAATCATACTCAAACCTTCAACCTATCGCGATTGCGTCCATAGGGACCCCTCGAGTGACAACACTTTCATGTTTGAACCAAAAGGGTCCTTCTCTCTAACACTCCCATTTGGCTTTGTCTCAAATTGGGTCGGGACGTATGGATGGAATGCCCACAAAACCACACCTCTCCTCTTCCGGCCCGAAATATCGCAAGAAAACCAACCACATCCAACCACACATAGATGCCAAAACATTGAAGCTCGGAGTGTTCCCTTGTTCCTTGCATTTTCCGGAGCAACCGTCGCCCACCCCGGGCTCCCTCCCCTCTCGGCGCAAGGCGCGGGACATCGGAGCCCGAACTGCTCGCAGAAGGCGGCGGCCCTTTGGACCGCGGGGGACGACATGGCGAGCCGGTGACGCAACGATCGGTCAGCCGGTCATCCAAAGCGCACGGTGCGCTTGAGCCACGCTGGCAGATTTTTTGGAGGTTTGCCCACCCGGAAGTCAGATTCACAAACCCAGCGGCAGCTCACAAAAACATGGTATCACGGTATCCCCCGAACCTTCAATTTGCGGGCAAGGGGAAAAACTACCACCACCTGCTACCATTTGCTTAAGCCCCCTGCACAAAATATAAATGTTCCAGTAGTGAAAGATTCCCTTTAGAACAAACCGGGGAAAAATAGAAAATGCTCTGAAACGCAAATGGAAGCCTGCATTTTTTGGAGGGAGCCCTATGGGGGAATGGGTCGCACATGTAGAGCTGGCCCTCGTCCGAGGTGTAGGTGTGGGTGATGGGCACCTGCGGCACACGTCAAAGCTCACAATTTCTCGGCATGATGGGCATGAGAGCGCTTCAGCCCCCCAACCCCTCCCCACCACCCCACATTCCCCCTCCCCACCACCTCACATTCCCCCCCCCACATTCCCCCCACATTTCCCCCCACCCCCCCCCCACCCCCCCACCCCCACCCCAAGGAAAGTTCATGGCACTTTCCAAGGCGTTCTTGCGGCTCTGTTCAATTTCTTGCGCAACCGCCAAAATCTCCTTGCCTCTTCCAGCGTACGCCGCCTCTTCGGGGGCCGCTCCTCGCATCTGCTCGGCGCTATCCAACAAAGAGCCCGTTGCAACACTCCTGCCCAATGGCCAGGGGAAAAAGAGGCATCCTGTTTTTGGCTGGTTGAGTTTAAAGAGAACCCTTCCCCAAAAACAAAAGGAACAAGGGCACCACTCGACTTGCAGGGAACCTGGAACCGAGGATAAAAACATCTCAAAGGCCTCACTCCCTCGCCATCCTCTGGCCATGTCCACGAAACTTTGTCCTCCTCCACTGCTTCCCTCAGCGCTTCCTGGCGAAGTGCGGACGCTTCGGAAGGTGGACCTCAATAACACCTGCCCAGATTTCACGGGGTGACCTGCCATGACATGAGCCCAACGTGGAAAAACACACACACACACACACACACACGGCGAGCCGGCGGGGTGTCACGTTGTGCTTTTGTTTTTTTTTCTAACTGCACTTGCACACCGGATCGGCTCCGCGTGAAATGACGCGGCGTGAAGATTGACACAAGCTCAGCTTAGGAGCTATGGAAAGCCTAGCCTGGCTAGCCTTAGGTCCACGACTCGCCTTTCTCGCCTAGGCCAGCCAGGCCTCAAGGCCTTGAAATTCGGCCGCAAGAAAACAGCCAGGCAGCCAGGTCGCACTACCTACCCTGGGCCACGGGCTGTCCCTCAAGCTCCGGCTTTGCTGTCACATGGCAGGAGCAAGACCACGAGGAAGGATGTGCTTTTCTGTTGAGGGTACCTTTTTGGTTTCTCCTTATAACAAGAAAAGTCGTTTTGCGAGAACAACCGGGTCACAAATGCTGTGCACGATCGTTGGTGGCCACAAATTCCCGTGCAACGCGTGTCCAACAAAGGCTCCCCGGCCCCCCCTCCCCCACGCCCTAACAAAAGGAACAAACCACCCTCCTAGCCAATGCTCATAGAAGAGAAACTTAGCATTGAGTTGCTTCTCAGACACAATGTGTCCGCAAAGGTCATTGTAGCTGTTTGTTCGGCTAGTCGAACATAAAAGGAAGCTTCCCGTGCTATGCTTTCTGCAAACGTATCACGCTTGATCAGGTGCCATGAGCACATGCTTAACTGCATCCCGGGTGCAGTTTCCGATACTAGTTTCTGTGACACTCGGAAGCCGTTGCTCTGCTACAGACCTTGTCCCCCTTGACAAATTGCTTTACATTGACAGCATGAGGCACAGCCCTCTTGTCAGATGACCCTTTCAGCCGGCTCTGCTCTTTACGGCCGGCCTCTTCAAACTGAGACCCTGGCCAGCCTCGATTCCGTCAGCGATCCCCATGTCATGTCCTTCCCCGCGAAAACCAAAACGGCTCCAAAACGATTGTCATTTTGAGGCTTGGGCATGGAATCCATTGCTCAACGCTCACCACGGAACGGCTTGACCGGAACGGCCTGAAGACCATCCGCATTTGCCGCGTGCTCTTCGCTGATCAGCGAAGCTTTGGGTCGGTGCAAACCGCGGCCGGGATTGGGAGCCTTCGAAGGTCGCTTCCATTGGCGGAGCATTCCGTGCAGCTAGGCATTGCCATGCAGTCAGCGCGAATTCACATCCCGCTTCATCTGCTCAAACGACAAATGAATCTGAGGGAAAGCTCTACACGATCGAATTTCCTGGTGGAGCACTCAAATGGGCAGGCCAAAGCCCAACAACATCCCGGCATCACGTCTTTTGCTAACCATGTGGATTGCAAGCTGCACATTAAACCACAGATGCGCTTTTACTGGCGCTTCCTGCGCCGTCTGCCCGAGGGGTGCTCCGCCACGCGCAAACTCTGCCATCAAATCGCTCAGATTGTTCGGACTGCCCATCAAAAAACTAGGAAGGTCTTCTGAACCAAAAGACATGTCGCCGAGCAGCGAAAAAACCTGAGAGGTTTGACATCCAGCCATAGAAAACTGACTTGTGGAAGGGCGCATCCATGGCAGAAGTCGGCGAATTCGGATCCTGCTGTTTGTTTGCTTCTTGCGACGGCTTGCCGCCACGGCGTGTCGGCGCTGTGAAACGTGCCACGCAGTCTGCGCTGTGCCTCAGACTAGTGACTGCTCGGCCAATGGGCGGGCGGTGGGCTTTTTGTTTGCCCCCAGTGGGAAGCAAAGAATGAAAACTGGTGGATTGAGAGGGGTCCTGCCAAGAAGCCAAGCGAACCTTTCGGCATCCATCAGGACGACCCCTAGCTTGGTAAGGCAGCCTGAACTGATACCAAAGAGAAACTCCTTTGATGGCGACGCTGAAGGACCTTAACCCTGTTGTTTAGTGGTTTGGCGGTTTTTAGGGGTACCCGCTTGGCCTCCAGGGAACTCCAATCCACAAATCAAGGGTACCTGAAGTCAAGCGGTTCACCTAAGCACCGTCCCTTACTTCCCGTCTACCCAGATTTGGATTGCTCAGGCCACTCTCAGAAGCGATACCAACCAAACCCACCAAAAAAGCTTTTGTCTAGGGAAAACACCCCTTGAATTCTCCAATTGGTGGTTTGGTTTGGTGGCTTGGATGTTGGGGACAACCTTCTTTCTAAAGTAGATACCGGGAGTCAAAGTTCAAATCCCCAAACCATCCAAACCACAGGAGTTTCTAAAACCTAGTACCTTTCCCCCAAAAAAAACAACCACCCAACCAACCAACCAACCAAACGCCCGACCTCTTGCCGAGTCGCCGAAGGAGCACCCAGACGGTGCCGATAAAACGATAATTTGCGCGTGCAGGGAATATGGAGGAATACTCCTCGATCACCTCGAAGTGGGGAGCGCGACCAGGGATTTGAACCGTTGTAGATGGTAAATGGAAAACCAGCCTCAAGCACTAAACCCAGCCAATCCAAACCAATCAGAGGGAAGCTGAGTTGACCCCAGATTTGAGCAGAACTTGGCGGATGAATAGGACCTTTAGGTTTTGTCCCATGTTATATCCCAAAAAGGTCCTATGCCCCCCAATAGGGATTGGCCGATTCCCCAATTCCAATAGGGGCTGATAGCAACTAATAGAGATTAGGGGCTAATAGGGTTCCTTGTGGGGGCCATTTTCAGGGCGTCCCCTCGAAAAGGGTACCCAAGAAAGCGATCATGGTAAGCATAGTGAGAAACAATCAGATAGCATGCCGTTACAGCTAGCACATAAGTCTGGAGATCTCCATCAAGAAATTAGGGGGGGAAAAAAAAAACGATTGGGAAGCCATGCGCCAATACGCATGACCCCTTGGCCATGAAATCTCTTGTGTAAGCTCTGAATCTGTGGGCCACGGTCTTGGCTTTCACTGCCCAAAGGCAATCCCTGGCCAGAATTGTCAGGGTATGGAACCCAACAAATCTCTGGAACGTAAGGGTGTCTTGTCTTTTTTGGTTGGAGAACTCCAGAATGGGTGGCTGTCGTTCGGGCTTACTTGTAAAACTACCGCAAAAGGGTACCCTTAGAAAATGACAAATAAAGTATTCAGGGCGCCATGCACATGTAAAGCGCAACGACGACACTAAAGCTGGGGCGCACATCCGAGAGGGACGTGGTGCTCGACAGCGAGGAGGCGCAACGCGTCATGAGACTGCCTATGCTGGAGCCGTCATCATCTTTCCCTATGTGGCCTTGCAGCGAGAACTGCAATGATGCCGCAGGACGAACCAGACATGGGAAAGCCATATACAGCTTTGGTGGGCATCCTTTACACGGTGATGTATGTGAAACAACCATTTCAGAGACTGGTTCCTATCAAAGCTCAGGCCAGACCGCAAATGTAAATGCTGCATGTGCCCCAAAACATGGGCGTGCCACCGACATTCTGCCAAGCCGCGCATGATCTCGTTCCAGTTGGGGATAAATCCTTCAGCTCTCACGGCAAACAGCCCAATGCAGCTCTGCCCTCCCTTCATCCCTTTGAACAGTGGCAGGCTCGGGAGCCAAAAGACCCTGCCAGAGCGAGTATTGCATGGATGATTATTATTGCCATCATGGATCACAGAAGTCTCTTTGATCTATATTAGTGATCCAGTATCATGAAGACCCTGCCAGTAATCGCAGCATGATCCTGCCAGAGCGACAATGCTATCCTGACACACCGAAACCATCCCGTCATCTGGGTCCCCACCCATTGCAGCCGGAGGGGCGCTCACTCTTCACCGGCTTCATCTCCGACCCCACCCTCGGATCGAATCGCCGCAGCGGGGGCTTGGCTGGGCGGTTGCTCCCTTGGCCGTTCCGCGTTCCGCGTTTTTGCTAAGGGTGCAAAAAGGGAAAAACCGCCAATCAACCTTAAGGAACTTCAGAGATGCAGCTTCGCCTGCCCCATCTTTATTCACCCTCAAAAAGCTGGTCCCAGTTGGATTCTCTGAAGCACATCAAATGTGCACGCACCCGTATTGCTGAGTGTGATTCGTTTATGCCAATGGAAAGCTGCGGTTGGTTTGGCTGTCAGTAAACTAAAGGGAGGCAGCGAGCGCTCCATCGGCAAAGCGGCGTGGCAAAGTGTCGCATGGAGAGGACTCGCTTCATTTGTGCCTCAGCGGCGGCCGGAGCTTTTGGTGAAGCAATGAAACCCAAAGCACACCAGTTGAGGGTCTCCCCAAGCTGACCTGTTCCATGGGTGTCTCTTAAATTGGAAAATTGGATAAAAAGAAGAAAGGAACCCACCACTTGGAGAGGGCTAGCCCTAACCCTGAGGAATGGTCGATGTGGAATTCAGCCGGCGCGATCGGCCGACGAGACGGCATTTGTGAACTTCGGCCGACGTTCGGCCGACAGCGCCACATTTGGCCAGCAGGGCATCCTGACCATCCCGACCGTCCAGGAGTTGCTCTAAATCGAACTTGGTGCAGCTGAGTTGCCAAGCTCCCGGTGGGGCTTGGTTCTGAGAGCATCTGCTCCAAGTCCTGAGGAAATGGCTTCCTTGTGGGTGAAAAATATCGTCAAGGGTTGTTTCCGTCACTAGGTGGTGTCCCTTTTGATTGCTTGGGCGGTTGGTTGGTTGGTTGGTTAATTGGTTGGTCGGTTGGTTGGTTGGTTGGTTGGTTGGTTGCTTGGTTGCTTGGTTGCTTGGTTGCTTGGTTGCTTGGTTGCTTGCTTGCTTGCTTGCTTGCTTGCTTGCTTGCTTGCTTGCTTGCTTGCTTGCTTGCTTGCTTGCTTGCTTGCTTGCTTGGTTGCTTGGTTGCTTGGTTGCTTGGTTGCTTGGTTGCTTGGTTGCTTGGTTGCTTGGTTGCTCGGTTGCTCGGTTGCTCGGTTGCTCGGTTGCTCGGTTGCTCGGTTGCTCGGTTGCTCGGTTGCTCGGTTGCTCGGTTGCTCGGT